ATAAATGAATATATAGTGAATTCTTTTATGTTCTAAAATTTAAGTGTATATTTTATTAAAGTATATTAAATTAACATGTATAGCTAATCATTGTTATATATCGATATCAAATTACATAATCTCAATGATTATCGAAATTTAAATCAATAGTAAAATACGTACATCTATTTTAGTTATATAAATAGATATAATTCGTTAAATATCAATAAATGATATATCGAAATAAATTATTCGATAGATTTCAAAATATAGTAATATATCGATATATATTTATTTGATATATTTCGGTATATAACAAATTATCGAAACCTATCGAATAATTTATTTCGATATATATCGTTTATTGATATATAACGAATTATATCTATTTATCAATATCTATCGATAAAGAAATATATCGATATTTATCAAAATTATCAATATATATCATTTATTTTTAATCGATATATATTATTTTTGCATTATATATCGATATTAATCTATATATAAATTTTGCCGATGTGGTCAATCTGAATTAGACCTATTTGGACTTGGTCCAATTGGTCTAATTTCATATTTCAATTAAATTTTAATTGGAAGCTTCCAATTGACAACACTAGTTAAGCATACTTGAATTGTTAATTTCTGATTATCAATAATCATTGAATAATCACAGGATATACTTAGTCAAACTAAAGATTTTTTAGTAAAGGTTCTTCAATAATTACTTGATTAAATTTAATAAAATTTTTTATTTTAATTCTACAAATATATAGAATTAAATAAAAAAGTTTATTGAATTTGGTTTTATTGTTGTTGAGAAATTTTTAGTAAAAGTTCAAAAAACTTTTAAATATTTAGAAAAACAGCATTTTTCTCTTTTTAAACTCTTAATTCTATAGATTTATAGAATTAAAATAAAAAAATTGATTAAATTTGATCAGGTAAGTGTCAAGTAATCTTCAAAATTAAAAAAAAAATTTGCTGCAGTTTTTATTTGAAACTTTGAATGAAGATTATTCAATACTTACCTGATCAAATTTTATCAATTTTTTTATATTTATTTTATTGATCCATAGTTTTAAAATAAAAAAACTTGATTGAGTTTAATTAGGTAACTATCGAGTAATATTCATTCAAAGTTTTAAGTATCTATAAAATAAAAATTGTAGCAAATTGTTTTTTTAACTAAGTGAAGATTACTTGACACTTATCTGACCAAATTCAATCAATTTTTTTTTATTTAATTCTATAGATTCATAGAGTTAAAATAAAAAAATTGATGAATGAATGTCAAGAAATCTTTGCTTAAGTTTTTTAAAAAAAACTTAAAAAAAGAAATATTATAATATATTTACTATAGTTAAGTTATAGATATAGCAGCTAGTGTAAAATCTATGGTGTAATATTAATACATGGACTACTTAAATAAGCAACCAAAAGTTGTACATATAGCTAGTTGTACTCTCTAATATAAGGAGTTCTGTAAGCAAACCCCATATCTAAATACTTGAATAAAAACCTTGGCCCAAAGAAGCTAGTTAATAAAAATAATAATAATAATATATTTACTAGTCAAACTATTAGCAAAATTTTCTTAACAACCATTTATTTAAATTCAATCAATTTTTTTTTATTTTAATTCTATGAATCTATAGATTAAAATAAAAAAAATTTGATCAAATTTGATCAGGTAAATGTCAAGTAATCTTTATTCAAAGTTTAAAAAGAAATTTGTTGCAGCTCTTATTTGATAGATACTTAAACTTTGAATGAAGATTACTCTACACTTACCTAATCAAACTCAATAAATTTTTTTATTTAAAGCTATGACTCAATAAAATAAAATAAAAATTGATAAAATTTGATTAGAAAAGTGTTAAGTAATCTTTATTCAAAGTTTTAAATAAAAACTGTGGCAAATTTCTTTTTTAACTTTGAATAAAGATTACTTAACATTTACCTGATCAAATTCGATCAATTTTTTTTTATTTTAATTCTATAGATTCATAGAATTAAAATAAAAATTTTTTGATTGAATTAGGATAGATGGGCATCAAAAAAGAGAAAATTCACCCAATTGGGCTGTTTTTCTAAGTTATTCAAAGGTTTTTTGAACTTTTACTGAATATTTCTTGATAACTTGAAACCAAATTCAATAAAGTTTTTTTTATTTTAATTCTATATATTTGTAGAATTAAAATAAAAAAAATTTATTGAATTAATCAAGTAGTTATTAAGGAATATTTGCTAGAAGTTTTAAAAAATTTTTAGTTTGACTAGGTATGATTGGGAAATTTCGTAAGGTGTCAAGCTTTACCCATTTTTTGATCATAGAAGGACTTTCGTCTGACTGGTTGATGTGAAACTGCCAAATTAGCAACTTTAGAAATACTTTAAAATAGCAATAAAGTAACTATATAGTTACTTTATAGTAGCTATAGCTAGAGTTACTATATGTTAGCAATACGCCTACTACTACTTGCTACGATTTTACTACTACATTACTATACTTTTACTGCAATTCTATAAAAAATTTTTTTAAAAAAAAAGTTTACAAACTTTTTTTTTAAAAAAATTTTTATAGAATTGTAGTAAAAGTATAGTAACGTAGTAGTAAAATCGAAGCAGGTAGTAGTAGGCGTATTGCTAACGATAAAGCTATAGTAACTATAAAGTAACTATATAGTTACTTTATTGCTATTTTAAAGTATTTCTAAAGTTGCTAATTTGGCAGTTTCTGCAATGTATATATGTTAGGGATATAAGTAAAAATGTCAGGAAGTAGAATTATCGAAATAAATTTCAATATATTATAGTTTTTTAGGTTTCGGATTATAGTTTGAGGATTCGGATTATAGTTTCGGTTTTTTTAAAAAAATCCGAAACTAGTTTTGGAGTTTCGTTTTGAGTACCAACTCTAGTTGAATCTAATAATTTATAGTAGTGAAGGTTGTAATTTACAGATTTATTTAAATATTATTGTCGGGATGATGCGGAAATTTGAACTTATTTGTTTAGAGGTGAGTTCCAGTTTAGGGTTAAAATTCATATTAAGAGTGTATAAATTATCGTTATGTGGATTTAGCGTATTTCAAATGAAGACTGCGGATTTGCACAATTCCTTTATTTAGTAGACTGCAAATCCTTCGATATGAAATTTTAGTATTATCTTATTTTAGTATTATCCCCGACATTTATTGTGACAGATTAAAATGAAATCAGATTAAAATTTTATATAGAGTAAATAGACAAGCCACCAAAAAAATACAAAATTTTGGGCTGCATTTTTTCAGCCTTTTTTTTAGGGTTAGGGGTCAGCTTTAGGGGTAGAATTAATGGTAAACAAGTATAAGTGGGTTTTCATTATGATCTGCGACATTTATTAACACATTAACAGTTAAATTACGAAAGCAACAATGAAAAAGGTGATATATTGTTTCACAAAATTGAAAGCATTTTATATAAATTTGGTCAACTAGAACCGTCGGTAAGCTTCGATTAACAAACATGCTAGAAAATAGAGCAGAATATTGAATATTACTAGTATTAGAGCCCGTCACCATATGACGGGCTAAATGGTATAGAATAACACTACAAATGAATGTTGCCAAGACCGTTATATAATGAGACAATCGGGCTATATATTTTATGCGTTATTTCTTAACTCGTGTCAATTATTAATTAACGCAGATCATTTTGAACAAATAAATACAATGGTTTCTACATAATTAGCAATCTTCATGTTAAAATTAAAAAAAAAAAAAAAGAATTAGCAATTTTGAAGTTAGTGTTAAACCTGGGATTCACAAATTTAGCGTGGATTCCATTTTTTTAAGTACGTATGTACGTACACAAGATATATTGCTAATATAAACAAAAGCCATAAATAGGCAACTTTGCTACTATATGCGTACGCATGTACGTACGGACATACACTTAGTTGGCTTTAATAATTTTTAGATCTAGCTTTCCTTTGCTTAACTTTCTTTTATCCTCAACTTCCCTTTTATCCTCAATTCCTTTTATCTTTTATCCTCGACTTCCTTTATTACATTCATTCTTTTTTCATCCTGAATAAAAAAATATGATTCTATACATTTATTCGAAAAATTATTTGAAAAATGGAATCATTTTCTACTCAGATTTAAAAAACGAAATAAAACAAAATTCGGAAGATCCGATGATATTTATTCATTTCATTTTGGCTACCTTAAATTTTATATCTTGTATCGAAATCCTTTGGCAAATTTGGTTTTTAAAATATAAAAAAAACAAAATTTTAGGATTGGACATAAACATTTGTTTATATCTTACTATTACTCGTATGTGACTTTGAAAGACAAATTCAGAGAAATTATAAATGTTGTAATATCATGAAAATAATACTATTTCTTATCCAATAGATTTACTTTATTCCTTGTCTCAAATATCTAACTTGGTATGTTCACCATTTACTTCATCATTTTCTTAATGTTACATATTAACTCAGGACCTTTTTACAAAATCTTTTAAAAGGTCCTTGTCAGAGCAGAAGCAATTACCAAACTATCGATATTATGTGACGTCGGAGGAAGACTCTCTCCAACGATTTTAACAATGAATTTATTGGTCATTTTTATTTTTGCATTTGATGCTATCTGGAAAAATTTTCTAAAAACTGAATCTCAAAGCTTTCGGAATTTTATTTTATGGAGTACGATATTTGCGATTTCGTGGACTGCATCTACTTTTGGATTGAATCGATATGGCCCTTTAGAATTGTGGTAATTTTGATATGAAATTGCAATTTGAACATTAACTTTTAAGTATAGTATATATTTATAATTTATATTTTTTTTAAAATTAGGTGCACTAGAAGAATATACATGCCACTCAATGATTACATGAATCTTGGCGTTATAATGATAAGCATTATAAGTGTGATTTCACTATATTTTATATTAGTGAATGATGCTAAAATACACAACTCTATTAAATCGAATGAGATAAAATTTATTTCCTGCTTAATTTTTGTTTACATTTTTCAATGGGTAAAATTTATCAATACGTCCTTATTATGCTTTATTATTCTTTATTATGTTACTAAATATTCGTATTACCTTGTTTTTTTCCTATTAGTCATGTTTCTTTCTTAGTAATCTTTTGATAATTTTCAAATTGGAGAATGATTCTGTTGTATGTTAATTTATAATTTTTGAAGTTCTAATATTTCTCAAAATGCTATTTTTTGTTACTAATTTATGCTACGTTATTCTTTTTTGTTAGTTGTACCAGACTTTTTTCTCAGCACTTTTGCTTATAGGTAAGTTTAATCATAAAATTTGTCATAAAATGTTCGTTACCGATACAATTGTAACAATTATTACATGTAAATATTAGGTGCACATAGTGGAGGAATATTAAACTCTATATTACTTTCAATAAAACAATTCTGTGATATGGATCTCGATGATGAAATTATCGACATTGAAAAGAATGACGACCTTACCATTCTGGACAAAAGCATTGCTAATTTTAATTATTCGAATAACACTAACATTGAAAATGAAAATGAAAATAGTGATATTAATTTGCTTCTTACTTCAACGAAATCATATGGAACCATGCGTGATTAAAATAATATTGTCCAATTTAATATTTATTGGTGGCACGTATGATATCAGATATAATATTGTACAGTGCGGACAACCTAGTCCCAACAAATGAAATTTTTAGCGGCCAAATTTAAAATTTAATTTTTTTATATATATGATACGGCCAAATTTAAAATTTCAACATAAAATAGCCAAAATTTTAATTTAACATAGTCAATTTAATATATAGAGTGGCCAAATTTAATATATAGAGAGGCCAAATTTCATGTGTAAAGTGGACAAATTTGCTTGTTTAATAGGTTGTCTGCACTGTAGATAGATTAAGGGTAGATCATTTTTCATATGATCTCGATGGTAAATTGTTAATATTTTTAATATTTTAACTAGTGTTAAAGCCCGTCATCATAGGGTATGGAATAAACACTACAAACTTGTTATGTGAATATTGCAAAGACCCCTTATAAGAAATTTTTACACATGAGTACACATGTCAGCACGAAATATAGCACGTCCAAAGCATTGAATTCAGATAAGTTGCACGGAAGCAAAGTCGACAAACATATAATTGCATGAAATTTTCTTATGTGTACGACATGTACACGAAATAATGAACGGTTTATACGTAACTATATTGGAAATTGCACGGAAAAGCATGTAAAAAAGCATGCTATTACGTGTATTGTTGCGTTTTTTTACATGTCTAGGATATAGTTGTGACCCGAAACTCGAAACTATATATAAATTCCCGAAACTCGAACAATATACTGAAAGCTTAGAAATTTAGATTTAAACTTTAAAACTTAAAGTATATGATAATTAGATTGCATTCCAAGAGTTTTTTTTTAGTTACTTTATGGCAAATAAGTATTAATTTTTAACATTCTAATTTGAAGGTTTTGGGTTTCGGGTCACAACTATAGTCTAGGGCATGTTTCTCTAAGCACTGTCTCGTGCTATATTCTATATAGTTCTGTATACTCTCGTGGTGTTATGTACTCGTGTTAGATCATCAATTCCGTGCACCATTTTTTATAGGGACCGTTATGTAACAAGACCATCGGGACTATGCACAAAATTGTTGGAGGATCCTATTTTTCGTGAAAAATTTACCCGTTACCGCACAAATATGCAATGTCTGATTTTGTGAAAAATCTCCTTTTTGGATCAAATATAGTATAGCTTGCCCCTTAATAAAATCTTTAAAAATCTTTAAATTAATTACTATATATTATACTATAATCTTTTAAATTAGCTTTTTAATATTGATTAAAATATTAATTATAATATAACTGATAAATACAATAAAATAATCATATAAAATTAGGGAGTTAAATAATTTTTAAAAGGGGTAACCTATACTATATTTGATCCTAATATCTGACAAAGGGTTGAATATCAATTATAATCTAGAGAATTACTATCAAAATATAGTCCTCCAAAATTTTTGCCGATATTACTAAAAAATAAAGTAAATTTAGATAAGAAATATTATATAATAAACTTAGAGTATTAGAAAATAATATTACTAATAGTTGCATTTATCAAAAAAGAATCAAAAATAAAAAACTTACAAAAGCTATATCAAAAACTTATCATTATTTAGAACTATTTTTACTAATCCTTTATACACAAAATTACAGAAACAAAATATTAATAAAAATATACAAAAGACAATAAGAAACAAGACTCACAGTTTAAAAAAAAAGATAAAAATTAAAAATAACAGGTTTAAAAAATCAGAGTAAGAAGAGCAGAAGTGACAAAGATATAGAAAAAATATAAAAAATTGTAAATAATTTTTGCTCTTTGCAAGTTATTTAAAAAATTGGTAATATTGATCAGTTTTTATTATACAAGACATACAATATAAAATAAAAGAGCAAACAATGAAAGTATATTAATAACTTTGTGACAAATAAAAACAAAAAAAATATATAAATACAATAACTAAATAGTCATATAAAGCAAAAAACAATAGAAAATTCTAGAAAAGAGTCTATTATAGCAGAACAAGCAGAAGTATGAATAATAATATTTAATAAAAAATTAAGGTAGTATAGAGCTGAAAAAATTAAATACACAGAACTTATATTTAAAAAGAAAAACAATACAAAATACTAAGAAATAAATTATTAAAAATTTAAGTACAACAAAAATAACAAGATGGTTTGTACATAACAAGAAATGACAAGCTGCTAAATATATAAAGCCTAAAATTAAACTTAGATAGTAGAAAAAACTAAATGAATAAAGAAAATATTAATAGAAGCAGTATAACAAAACAACATTACAATTACTAATATAGTATTTTAAAGAAGCTATCAAAACATTTGCAAGAAAACAATATATAAAAAAAGAAAGAATCAAAGAAGAAAAGAAGAAGATACAAGTTTAACAAAAAGCAAAAATCCTAGAACAAAAACAAAAAAAGTAAAAGAAAAAGAAAGAATATCAAAACAAAGAATTACAAAAAGAGATATCGAAGACCTTATAGAAAGACAACTTTAAACAAAATAGTAGAAGTATAAAACCAAGAATCTTAGCAACAACTCCAATAGCAGATAAAAGCCTCAACAATATATAAATTAAAAATCTATGAAGAAATATAGTCTTTCTTCTCTATAGTCACCTCTTTTATAGTTATAAAATTAATATAATTACTGTTTTTTTTGTAACCTTTTTATATTATTTATACCTCTATATAGGCACAATTGCCTTATAGTCACTATTATATTTTTTTATTAACCAATTATATAATATTCATAATTTTTTTTGATATTAAAGTGACCTCTTGGTTGCTTTCCTTTTTTTTAATTAGTGTAACAGATTAAAATGAAATTGAATTAAAATGAAATTTTTTTATTTTTTAAGAAAAATTTTAAATTTTTTGAGAACTATTTTTTAGATTTTTTTAGTACTAGAGTTAGAGTTTAGAGTTAAGATTATTAATAAACAAGTATATATAGGTTTTATAAGCTTTAAAAGTAAGCAAAAGAGGTTCCTAGTTTTATTTTAATCTGATTTTATTTTTATTTTTTATTTTTTTTACCTTCACAATGTCACAGAAGGGCAAATTTTTATTAGGTATATTAGTAGTACATTCTTGGTTAACGAGAGTACATTCTAGTCATACCTGTATCTTTTGAGTGTCTAATTAAGTAGCTACCTATTACTAGAGTCTACACTAGATGCCATACCTATAACCTACTATTATTTGAGCTATCCAATTAAACTCTCTGATGTCCTCTGTCCTGCACTACCACCTTAATTACCCTAACCCATAACCTTGTGCTGCTTCATTGAAAGCACCCAAATCGACATGTGCTATACTACTTGTGCTCTAATTCGACAGATAACCCAGTAGGGTTCTCATACTTACCGAGTTACCCTAGGGAAGGTATAGTATATACACTCCTAATCTTCTATATCCTATACATTTCCAGACTAGGCCTTTTTAGTAACTTACACCAAGTCTGAGGACAAGTACTTGTGAGCCAAGGCTGCTATAGTTACCTACTACTACCCTTGTAGAGTTTACCCAAACCCCGGTACCTACTTTACAGACTCTCTCCCATACCTCTGGAAACCCAAACTTCCAATCTGATGGCCTGGAAAGGCAAAACCTTTTTTTCAATTATCCGATGGCCTGGTTGGTATAGTGCCTTGCCAAACACCTTGGTCCTGTTTGGTTTTCTGATATTCAGTTGATCATCCTTTATATAGTAACCGTCAAAGATCTGTGCTACCTCTCTACTTAGGTCTTGTCAAGCAGGCTTATGTATTCTGTAAATTCGCTGAATTTATTCAGTAGCTTCACTCGAATTTTGTGTAACTCATACATCACACTATATGTTCTACTACTTCTCAGTACAAGCTGGTACGACTACTATTACAGGTTCTATAACCCAATAGAATACAGTCTTCCAAATGCATTTTCTATAAATTCGAATTTCGTTACAGGTAGGATTTGAACTCTAGTCTTGCTGCTTGGGAGTGCAACAACTTGCCAACTTCACTAAGTCATCACACACTCTGATTTTATTTTAATCTGAGATAATTATTATTAATTTTTACAATATAATATATACTATACTGTATATATATTTGGAGAGTATAACTAGCCATATATATAACTTTTAGTTGTCTATTTAAGTAGTCTGCTTATTACTAAGTTCTATATTAGATGCTATATCTATAATCTAACTAGAGGGTTATCTATTTAAACCTTTTGTACCTATATCTATTAATTTTCTAACTGAGCAAGGGTACTTAGTATCTTCTTATTTTTAAATATCTAACTTAGAACTTTAAAACAGGCTTATATTTTATAAAAAGCCTTTTGTTCTCAAAATAAATCTGCTAGAGCTTTTTGTATCTACAATCTAGCTGATCTAGTCTTCAATTAATATGCACTAGCTGAAGCTTACTACTTGTGTTTCAGTTTTTATAGCAGAAGTATTTTGTTCTTATCAGTTTTTTTTGTAATATTTTAACTATACTATGGTCTGATTGTTGCTACACAATCTACTTCTGCCTTTGTAGAGTTTACTTAAACTCTAGTACTTTTTTTTAAGACAACTTAGTATTATCTCTTTTAGTATTTCTAGCCAGTCTTTTCAAACTATTAATTTAAATAGTTTAGTAGAAACACTAGTTCTTGATATCTGCATTGCAAATTCTTTTTCTCTAGCATTTTGGTGACCTAATTGATAGAGTTTCTTTTCTCCAAATATCTGATTCTTATCTAATTATATCAGTCTTAGATAAAGCCTATTTTAGTAGCATATTGAAAGTATAAATTTTTTTCTACTCAGAACTTGTCAAGTGAGCACCCACTATCACATTACTCTGTAGCTTTTTGCAATCTTAGAAGACTTATTGAGAGTTTGTATTGACTAAACTAGCTTGTATACCTTTGTATACCTTTTTTATTATACAAATACTTCAAAATATTCTAATTTTAATATAATTATTATTTGGTATAACTACAATTACAGAGTTTTGAGTTTTTTTAGCTATAA